GTGTATTGACGATTACAATGAAGTGACAATACTGTGTCAATAATGCACGTGTAACGTACACTTATGAGTAACTCTTCTCTTTTTATAGGTATGCCTAGACTTGATCAAACCTTTGACTTTAACTATTTTGAATTTTAAATTCTTTAAATCTAACCAAGGAAAAAGAGCAGATGAGCTTGGGTAAGAGAATGAAAGTTTAGGCACACAACGATGTGTGCCGCTGGTAAAGTTTCTGGGCTGCTTTTCCTCATAACAGCCATCCCTCAAGATTTTCTCCATTTAAAGCAATGCATCGTCAGGGACTGTAACATCGAGTCCTTTTACTGAATCTTTGATGAATGCATAAAAATACAGCCCGAGTCGACCTGTTCGTATCTGTCTGAAGTCTTACTGCTTAAATAGCTGCTTTTATTACGTTTTTATTAGTTTGGTGAAAGAGGTTAACCGCCAGAAAACGTTTTAAAAATCGTCCTTCACCTGCTGGAGCTGAAACAATGCAGCAAATGAAACAGGTGGCTTTAAATGAGTGTAAACCTTCTGGGGTTCAGGAGTGATGGTCAGGCATCTCATTTTAAAGTTTGCTCAGTTTAAATATCAGAGCTGCTTTTATCTGAGGTGTCAAAAGTAAAAACACCGGGACAAAATGAGGCACCAACCGTGCTGCCGACACACAAAAATACTGTTTTGGTTCTTGTTCTCTGTCTCGCATGTAACAAGTATTGATCGTGTTTCTCTTCGGTTGGTTTGGGACATGATGTGCGTGTCGGACGGCTGGTGCACATCTGCCCAGCAGGTGTCCTCACAGGACAGCGATCGATGAAACCGCGTGTGTACAGTAAGAGCACACGTAGCATCTCAACCTCCACGGGCATCGCACCTCGACATCCAAACACAGTGTTTTTGTGAGGTTTGAGTTTTCAGAGGGAAAAACAAACACAGATGTGTGACGAGCTGTAGACAGAGAGCCAAGAGGAAAGAAGCTCTGACACTGATCTAAATTTATATTTCTGTTCTTAAAGCTCAGAAATGCCCTCACCGTTTCTAGACTGAGGAGAAACGTTTTGGCCTGCAGCCACAGTGGAAGCAAATCCTCATCAAACTGTCTATATACAAAACACAAACATGGTGGTACAGGTTCAAAAATATTTCCGTTGTAAATGTAATCTCTGGATTTAAAAGAATCCAAAAAAATTTGGAGCAAAATTATTTTCAGGATCAAAAAAGAAGTTTGTTCCATCACTGTGCGCACTAACAGTGTCCGACAAATGTTATTAATTTACTTTTACTAATACTATTCATTCATTGATTTGTTGCAAAACTATTAAAACATTTTAAGAATTAAACTTGTTACTTTTTGAGCTTTCATCTCTGTTAAGTATCACTTCAGTTCCACAGTTTGTTTAGTGTAAAGTAGAATTAAAAACATAAAAGTGATGGTGTTTATTTGCTTCCACTGGGCTGCTAAATCAAAAATGTAACTACTTTAACCACTAACTCATTTTAAAACAAGCTTTAAATATGGCTTAATTGTTACCTTTAAAATCAAAACAAGAAAAAAAGGTCTAAATTTTCTGTTATTGGGTTGTGTTTTCTTCAGATTGGTCATTTGTACTTATTTTTGTTGAGATAATATTTGTTTCCAAATACGGTGACTGCTTGCTTTTCAGTGCATTCAGTAGCAGTTGTGCAACTTTTCC